GGTCACTTTTCCCACTAGTGGAAGCTTCTTTCCTGGGGGGGGGGGGGCGGGCAGAAACTGGAGTCCCCCCACCCTCCACAGCAGAAGCTCTGGGTTCCTGACGGCCTGGAAAAGAGACAAGAGCTCTCTGTCTTGCAGGACGTGGAGGCAGGGACTCCAGGCAGACCCTTGGAGCACACAGGCTCCGGTCACGTCTGCAACTTAGAGCACAAGTGTCCCAGGACACACGGCCAGCCCTCTCCCTTTGGCCCACAGGAAGGCTGGGAATGTGCATGTGGTCAGAATATCCAAAAAAAAAAAAAGCTGTCTGTTGACCAGTCCGCGCTTTACAGAGCAGTGAGGTCCTGATACACAGATTTGCCTTAAGACGCCGGGGTTGGGGGGGTGGGGGTGGCAGCTCTGAGCCTGTCTCTGGAACGTGTCAGCCTGTAATCGCCCGTCAGTCACAGCCCTCATCAAGCAAATGCCAATTGCAAGCAACAGGCCTCACGAAAGGGTATGAATTATTTAAACCAATCAGCTGTCAATGAGCGCCAACAATTACAGGGGTCGAATCCAAGGGGAAAGTGAAGTGGTATTTTTCAGCTTGCTTGCAGATTGTCAGATTAATTTTCACTTATTTATTTCTGACCTTACGGAAAACGTATTAGCACAAGGTCAAAACATTTCTTTCTTTCTCTATAATTTGAGAACATCAGAAGCATAGACATAGAAACCCGTAAAGAACGGACACTTTTTGGACCCGGCTGGCGATTCCGGCCGCCCGGCCTGCCCTTTTCATTTTGAGCCTCTGTTTCTCCTTCAGAGAAGTCGGTATGAGAGGGCCTACCCTGAGAGTGTTCCGGACCCTGAACTCGTTGTAGGCAGAGCCTATTTTAAAAGCTCAATCATTTGGCCACTATGATCATCATTCTTTTCGATTATCAGGTTGTGAAGATACAAACTTAAAAATAGATCCCTCCAAACACACCCACTAGTCAGAAGATGTTAAGCCCATAGAACCTGTATTTACATGTCAAGGTGAATGTTATTTGTAATTGATGTCACCTCGTATGTTAGGTCAAAAGTTGGGTTGTGGAGTTTTGAGCGCCAAATGATGAACTGCCCCGGATCGATTGGGTTTTTCCTTAAATTCTTTTTCCACGTTTGCCCTCCCATCGATAGTCAATCACCGTCTAGGCCAACACCCCAGTGCTGGTCACAGTACCTGGCACACCGTGGACTGTGTTTAATATAGGCTTATTATTGATTTTTTTTTTTTTTGGATGAACGAAGTGTGTAAAGAGAATCTTATAGTTAGATCAGTGTTCTATGGAGGCTGAGAGGCAGAGGGAGACTTGATCCCTGTATTCAAATGGTTTATAATCTAAGTATGGAAAGAACGTGATCACAGGAGCGTGCACGCACACGCACACTCATGGACACACATGTGCTCATACGTGCACACGCACACGCATGCTGGCGACCATTGGTCCGCCACAGAGTAAAGCAGGTGGTTTGGACTCCGAGTGCCACGAGAGTTCAGACAGAACTTTCTGGCAGAGTCGAGACTCCAGCCAGGCCTCAGAGAGTGCGTGGCGGGGCCGGGGGGGGGGGGGGCGGTAGGGCCCCGCGGCGGCCCGAGGTCACGGGGGGGGTGGGGAGGCAGGGAGCTGGATCCCTGTGGAGCTCTGGCTTATACCGAGGAAGCCACGTGCCCCCGCGTAGCCAGGACAATTTGTGGAGTGGGCAGGGGGAGCCAGGGGCGAGGAAGAAGAGAGGGCCGGGAGCTCAGCAGAGGCAGCAAAGGCCCTGGAAGCAGCGAGCAATAGTACCATCTTCCTCCTGATTGTGCAGAGATCTGAGACGTCCGTGCGCCTGAACCGCTTAGAACAGTGCCCGGCACCAGGCAGGCGCTGGGCGGGCTTTGCCACTTGGTGGTCGTGGTTAACATTACCCTTGAAGATCTTGACAAGTAGCCACGTAGATGAACTGCTTTAGGAAGCCGAGTCTGGCAAAGCAAAAAAAAAACCAAGATAATTACCAGATATTTAGGCCAGAAGAGAACTGATTAGCATAGCTCTGTAAGGCACACTTTAACAACACCCAGTGACCTAATTTCTCGAAGGAGAAACACGAACCCTCGCTTTATTCCTCCCTGATCCAGAGGCGATGTGATGGCAAAACACAGTATTCCCTCCCCAGGCTCTTCCTCTCAAAGGGTTTTTAACCAGGGAAATCATCTGAACAGCCTCTCAAGCTTCTGCGTGGACTTAACATTTCCCCCATCACCAGGCATGTGCTTACTTTATAATAATAACTGGTCGCAAGCGTTCACTTTCTCCCCGTTAAATGGCCAAATTCACCCAGCAGCCACTGCCTGAGGCGCAGTGCTACGTCCTGGACAGGACCCAGAGCTTAGAAACGAGGGCCAGGCCCTAACTGTCGAGTGAGGTCAAGGGCCACGGGAGCAGAACAATGAAATCAAACTCTACAGGGGGCTCAGCAGAGGCACAAAAGAGGGAGTCGTGAGTTCCAGGGTGGACAAAGGGGTCCTAAGCAGAGGCCAGATCACCAAAAGCCTTGACTGCCACGCTGGGAAGTGTGGCTTTCCCCTGAGGGCAACGAAAGAACGTTTTAGAAAAGGGAGGGGTATATGCAGATTTAAAATAATGAGAGCAGCTCTTGTTAATTCAGCATCTACTAGGGGCCAGGTGCCGCTCTAAGTGCTTCATGCACATGGGCTCATTCTAGCTTCATGACTTGTGGGTGAGGAAATGGATGTCCAGAATGGGCAAGTAATCTGCCTGGGGTCACACAGCGTGGGAAGGGGCACACCAGGCTTCGAACGTAGGCAGCCCCAGGACCCACATGCTCATCACCAGGCTCTACTCTTACTAGAAAAATCACTCTGTCTGCATGTGACGGTGGGTGCTGGGAGGACAGGAGCGAGGAGGCGTTTGGAACAAACCCAGCAGGTCCCCAAGGTTTCTCTTTGCCAACACTTCTTCCCGATAAGGCATCTCCTCCCACTGGCCCCTCTGCCCCGTCCTGGGGTCCTTCCGGTGGGAACCTCCACCCCCAGCAGCCACCTGGGGGCATCCGCCAGGCCCTCCCCAAGGAGCCAGCCGCCCAGTGTACCCCCTCATCCGAGCTGAGTTGTAAAATCAGGAATCGATTTCTTCCGGGTCTATTCTCTTTACGTTTCAGCCTAAAACACATGCTTTTCTCCCTGGAAATTCCTATCTTAATTCTGCTTTCTTGTTCTGTAAACATTAGGAGATGATGCTTATGAGGAACTCCGTTTTATTACACTGCAGTCTAGCAAACATAATCGAATTAGGTGATGCTTTATTTGAGCACACTTCACCGGGTTCTTCCTCCCAGAAAGCACTGGCCTCTCAGCTCGGGCTTCTTCGCGGCCTCTGAGCAGTGAGTAGGAAGAGAAAAGGCCTGGAAACCAAGCTCCCCTCCCGGTCCCCCACCCTAGCGGGTGGCCTCAGACAGGCTGGCCTCTGACCTGAGCTTAGATCCCGTGTCCGGAAAGTGAGGGTGCAAATGGTGCCCGCCCCCTCTGTCTTGTAACGTGGCTTTTGAGATTAACCTGCGCCATCCTGGCCACTGGAGAAACTCCCCCCAAGAACACTGGGATGAACGTAAGCTCTGGGGGAACAGGAACTTTGGCGGTCCTTCCCATCACTGGATCCCCACTGCCCAGAATAGTGCTTAGCACCGAGTGGTTTTCAGAATTTTTGAATGAATGAATGTCAAAATATGCCTCTCGGTTTCTCAGCATGCGCGCACGTGTGTGTGTGTGTGTGTGTGTGTGTGTGTGAGAGAGAGAGAGAGAGAGAGAGCGAGAGAGAAAGAGAAGGAGAAAGAGAGAGAGACAGAGAGACTCTGCAACTTTCTGGGCTCTTCTATCCTTACTATAACACTTTTCAATTCTGTTGTGCGCTCCGAACCCGCCTTGCAATTCCTGACTCACTAGGTCTGTGGAATTAGGTCTGCACGGTGTCCAGTTACAGACCTTTTTGGCCCCCTGGTGCACAGCCCAGCCAGAGGGAAGGGGGGGCGGGAAAGAAGCGGTTGGCCAGGCAGTGCGGAGGAGAGCCCTTGGAAATGAGGGTGTCGGTTATTGGACGTGCTCCTTAATGGACTCAGGTGTGGCCCCTCCTAGGCATGATTTGTGCTCGTCCCTGCAACTGACAGCCTGGTTCCTTCTGAGCCTCTTCAGGGCATCGGTGCCCTTGGTTAGAAGCGGGCCCATGTGACTGAGGCCCGTGTCCTGAATTTCCCTTGTCATCCAGCCCCCCACAGATGGGAGCTGGGTTAGGGCTGCCTTGTTCTTGCCTGGGACACAGCGGGTCCCCGTGACGTGGCTTTGCTGCACTCTGAACAGTATCAGGCAGTCATCTGAGGCACCCAGGGATGCTGAGGACCGCGAGCAAGCAAACTCGTTGCATGTCTGCTTCCCACAGCTTGTGGGAGAGGCCCCCCTGAGACACATTAATAAAGATTAAAGGTCCTCCAGGCCCTGTGATCTTCGCCATGTCAAAAGGAAACAGTCACTTTTCCCTTCTCGCCGCCGTTTATTAATATTACAGGGCTTTGCTCTAAAAAGAAAAAAACGCAGGATGCTGGAGAAGATGGGTATTCTGAAGGCTCTCACTCTTATATCGCTTTGTCATTTCTCTGTGTGCGTGAAGCACTCATCAAACCTCCAATTTCTCTGATTTGGGGGCGTGCAGGGATCACTCTTTCCTCTACGTACCCCTTGGCCGAAACCAAAGACCTTCAGATTTAGGGGCCCCAAAGCAGACTGGGTCCACAGAGAGCAGGGCCGTCCAAGATGTCACCCGCGAGGGGGAAATACGTCTCCCTGTCACTTCGTACGTTCTGAGCACTTCCTCCAGCCAGACCCTGGAATAGGCACGTGTTGACAGATGCACCCAGGGGTCTGCTCTCACGGGGCTTCCGTTCTGATCAGGACTTGCCTGAACCAGCCAGGGGGATGGGAACCTGGGGTCCTTGATCGAGGTCTTTTTGGTTTTTAGCTATTATTATTCTCGAGACACATCCTGAGGGCTCAGGATTCATTCAACAGCTCTTGTTTGAATCGCCACGTGGTGTAGGGCCCTGGGGCCATAGACACACCTAGGCCAGGGTCCCAGAACAGAGCCGAGTTAAAAGGGATGCGTTTTCCCAGCTGTCTCCTGGAGAGCGAACCTGAGTTCAGCTCCCGTCTCCCCAGCCACGAGGTGGAGAAAAGACCAACCCCACTGCAGAGGGGGCACGGACGGCCTTGCACGTGCCCGGGAGAAAGAAAGTGCTCTGGAGATTGAATCCATTGTAACTGCGCAGGGGGTGTGAGCCTGCGTCAAGGGGATGCCAGGCTACAGGATCACCTACCTCTAGTGCCCTGGCAGGAGGGCTTCCTGGAGGAGGAGACACTTGAGCTGGGCCTTGAAGGACACACCAGATTGAGTCAGGCAGAGGTGGGGAAACAGTCACTGCAGGCAGAAGGAACACAGAGGCCAAGAGGCGTGGGTTGGCCTGGCGAGTTTGGGGAAATGTGAGGAGAGCAGAGGAAGGAGCAGGGACCACGCCAGGAAATGGGATGAACGAGTGGCCCTGAGCAAGTTAGTGACCGCTCTGTGCCTCAGTTTCTCCAACTGTCAGGTGAGGCTATTTATAGATGTGATGACCTCACAGGGTGGCTTAGAATAATGCCTTAGAATATAATTAATAAGCTGCCATTAATTCTCTGGTCTCACAAAGAGGGATATCATCACACCCATTTCTCAGGTGAAGAAACGGAGGCTCAGAACAGTTAAGGAACTTGTCAAGGCCCCACTGGGAGTGAGCGTGGAAACACTGCTCAAATCCAGCCAGTCTGAGTCCCCGGCCCATTAGGCCACTTGGCCTCTCATCCCAGAGGTGCTCATCCTGTGACAAGGTCTGGGCCAGGTCTCCCCCCCACCTAGGGGGCCATCAGTTTTGACGCCCATTTCCCTCGGTGACATGCAGGGGGGCTAGTTCCCAAAACAGGTTTCCAGTGGGGATAACCCAGGCCTTCACAAGGGGGACCCTAGTTAAAATTTAGAGATTTGGGGACAGCAGCATCACTGGTGAAGGGGCAGCTGCTCTTAAGCACAGACCCCGGCCAAACCCCTGACACTCGAGTCGGTGCCGAGCCCCCCCCGACATCCTTCGTGGAGGGCAGTTATCAACCCCATTCGTAGACGAGGGCATCATAGGCACGGGAGAGTCCTCTGTCCCAAGTCACTCAGTTCAGAAGTGGCAGAGGTGAGACGCCACACCTCTTCTTCCCTGGAGATCACATAATCTCTGACAAAGGGGGCGATAGGTTTCAGCCTAAGGGGTGTTCTCAGGAGGTCAGCACCTGAATTTTGCTCACCAGCCTGCAGAGACGGGACTGGAGAGAGCCACACTCGAGCCAGGAATGTGCCTAATCGATGTGTCCGCCCAGCTCCCTGTTCCATTTCTCGACACGGGATTTGGACGGGAGCCTCCACGCAATCCTGCTCTCGCACGCAGCGCCTGGGAGCGCCGAGCACGAAAGTGATTGATTTCACGGTCACGGGGCTTATAGCTGAGGAACGCACGGCCCCGCGAAGGCCTGAGCTCCGAAAACATGTGCTAACACCGACACAGGGCATCAGCATCGTGGCCAGCAGTTATTGAGTGCCCACTGTCTACCGAGCGCTGCACGGCACGTTCACTGTGTCTCCCTTAATCCTCTAATCATCTTGTACTGTGACCATCTCCATTTTCCAGATGAGAACAGTGAGGCACAGAAAGAGTAGGTAATTGACTCCAAGGCGCACAGCTCAGTTAAACACTGGTAAGACATCTGATCCAGGAAACCCTGGGTGAGTGGGGAGTGGATAGGGCTCGGGATGCATTCCCTGGGCAGATGGCCTCTGTGTTTATTTCACCACCCACCGCCCAACTGTAGGTGCACCCACCATGGGGGGCCTTGTAGGTGAGAACCGGGCCGCGTGCACTCTGCCCCTCTTGCCTGGGCAAGACGGGGGGGGGGGGGGGGGGTGGGCCCGGGCCGGCAGAAGGAAGGAAGCCACCGCACTGAAAGTGGCAACGTCTTTGTTTGTGTGGGAACTCGGTGCCATGTGCTCCGTTCGGCTTGAATCACGCTGGCAAGAATTCCAGGAGCAAAACGTGGAGTTTCCTTGTGATTTTCCCAGACAGAGAGTGAGAATGGGCTGGAACGAAAGCACTAGGAGGAAACAATGCCGGAATGTGGCAGATGCCTTGTGCGCCTCGCATCCAAGGGCCGCGGCAGCGGGGTGAAGGTAGCAAACAGAAGCCGAGGCCACGGGACTCTGTCTCCCCCCCCCCCACCCCCCCGGTGATCGTCCCCAGGCAAGGGCAGGGAAATTTCCTGTTCGATTAGGAAGGGAATTCGACAAATATTTGCTGAGCGGCCCGCGTGTTATGCCAGATCCTGTCATGGGCACCAGGGACGGGAGATGACTCAGGCTCATCCCTGCCCTGCAAGAGCTCACCGTCTGATGAGGGACAGTGACACATTAACACACAAGCACATACAATAAGGCAGCACAGCTGCGTGCTGGGTGATGAGAGGCAACTTGGGAGGCTGAGGCTTCTGCAGGTACCAGCCGCAGAGTCCCGAGGGGATTGTCCCCTTCTGGCTCCCAGAGGAGGCTGGGTAGTCAGACCACGCTAGAAGGTACGGGGCCACTGGGCCACTGTCCTCCCTGGAGCTCCGGTGGAAGGGAGCCAAGGCGAATGAGTCAGGCTCTTCTGGAGGACTGCTTACTCAGGTGGCCGAGGCAAGAGGAGCCGTGGGGGCCTCCTCTTGGGGCGGCAGGCTGGGGGAGGGGCAGCACGGGGAATTGGGATAGTCAAGGTTTTCCCTCTACCTGCTAGGTATCAGCAAACCGGCACAGGGGGGGATTTGAACCCAAGTCAGTCTGGCGCAGAAAGCAAAGCCCAGCCCAGTCCATCAGAGTTCCACCTGTGTCCCCTTGTCCCCTCACCGTCTCTCTCCCCCCACCCTGCCATCAACCCCCCTCCCTACAGTGGCCCCTGGGTCCTGCCTCTCTGGTCTCACTCCCTCCCTCGCCTGGCTGGTCTGCTGCTACTCAGCCTGGTCCACAGGAAGGAGTGTGGCTTTTTGAGTCAAGAAGGCACAGCACACCCTTACTAGCTGAGTGACCTTGGGCAAGTTACTTTAACCTTTCTGAGCCTCAGTTTCTCCCTTGTAAGATGAAGACCTGGGGGGCCTCTAGGAAGTGAGGCTTGTGGAACGTCAGCATACAGTTCTCTGCGGAGAAGCCATCTGACCAGCGTTAACTCCCTTCCTCCTTTCCTTTTCTCCTCCTCGAGAAATGCCAGCGGGATCTCCATGGTAGATGGGGTTCTGCCCACGCCCTCTCCCACACGGCCCCACCCCGGCCTCTTTTCCGATCGGGTTGAAGTCAGGTTGCTGTCTAGGACCTCCCCATCGAAAGGATGGAACCCTGCCTTCCCTGTTTGCCTTCACAATGCGTTAGGAGTCTCTCAGTGGGACTCTGTCTACATCTACTGGGAAGCAATGGGTATTTTCCCTCCCCCGTCATCTCTTTCACTCCCAAAGGCCCGAAGTTTCCTACCCACTGGGCAGGGTGCTATTTCCTCTTCCGACAGGAGCTCCTCTCTGGCAAAGCCACGCGCTAGGGCAGAAAGGGCGTGCATTTTGGAGAAACACCTTGCGACTCATTCTCCCCTCTGCTCACGCCTGTGACATGCAGACCCCTTCCCTCCCTGGCAGTCACTGCTGCTCCCCCAGCCCAGATGCATCCCCCACTCAGCCCTTCCCATGCTGGGCTCTATCTTATCTCTGTCCCTGACTGCCCCCCCCCAGCCCAAGGAGAACGCACCCCAATTCTCTCCCCATCACTGCACCTTGACCACTTCCTCTGTGGCACTATCCCAGCTGTGATTATCAGCTCTGCTTTGCTCACTGTCAACGTCCTCCGTGGATCGGGAAGCTCCATGAGGGCAGAACATTCCTGCTTTGGCCACTGGCCGGGTACCCAGTACCTGGGCAGGGTCTGGCACACGGTAGGCCCTGGGTATGAATGTGCTAGAAGAAGGAAGGGACCAGATGAGAGATGGTTGATGAGGACAGGCTTCAGTCTGAACTCCGTCCCAACACTCAGAAGCTGCAAGATAGTAAATTATCTAGCTTCTGAGCTTCATTGTCCTCATCTGTAAAATGGGAACAATAATAACCATTCCAAGTATTTTTCTTGTGCTCTCAGACATGAAATGCTCAGTACGTGGTGAGTGTTTCCTTCTGCTTGGCTTACCTCCCCGCCCCCCCGCCTCATTAACAGTCTGTCCAGTGGTGCCCACCCCTCCCCTGCTTTTTTGGCAAGGACAGCAGGTCCCCTCATGTTATGGGAGGAATCCGCCCTGACCGTGGTTCTTGTCCTGGTTTGAAATCCACAGCCCGGGGCCCGTCTTCCTCCCAATAAAGGTCAGAGTATTTTCCCTTTACACCTGCCCGCACTCAACTTCATGGGGCATTTTTTTGGTTTGCTCCTGTGGCTTTGTGAAGTCTTTGTTCTTATTTGCTGCGTTTGTTCTGTAAGGATTCCCAGGGACCATCCTGGCACCCTACTGCAAACCAGGACATGCTGTAATACTCCATCATAATACACTTACATATGACAGCCCGAGCGGGACATCTGGACGGCCCCCTAGAAATGACAAGTCTATGGGCTCATTCCCCGCAGGCACAAAGTCCATGCCAGTCCCTGGTCTCACTGAATCTCTGTAGGGCCGTGGGCACTGAGAGCAGTTGGAAGAGGACAAGAATTTGAGAATTGCTTTGTGCCCCCGGGCACCAGAACCATACCAGGATTTCGCCATCTGCCTGCTTCATTAGGGTCCCAGAGATCTCTGGGCCAGCTTGATATTCTGGAACCAGAAGCCTCGGCTCCCTGGGTCAGGGCAGAAGAAATACACAAACTTTAGGACATTCTTCCTTGTTACAGCACTGCCCATCCCCAGGCCAATCTTATCATCCAGTTAAAAAAAAAAAAAAAAAAAGGTTTAAGATTATGAAAATGAAAAACACTGTACAAGTTGAAAAAACATTCTAGGCACAGACTATAAATCCAATGTCTAGTCCCAAAAGCTCCTCAACCCAGGGACCATTCGTACAACTGCAGGCAATTCCAGCCCAGCGTCCCCCAGCCTGACTTCTGGAGCAGCCTCCACACCCCGCGCCCCACCCCCATCCCCCCCCCCCGCCCCCCAGCAGAGGCTTCCTGAACCCAGACTATGCTCCTCTGTCCTTGACACATGAGCCAAACGCGTTCTCCGGGACCAGAGTCTTTTGCTTTGAGGTTCTGTGTAGCCCAAGGTCTAACCGCAAAGCATAACCTCCTTTCCGCACGCTGTTGGGACCCCAGACGTGGACGCCTGGGTTCTCTTTGCCCCAAGCTACTTGATCTCCCTTAAAGAAGGCACCAAGGCAAGAATTCAGCACTCATCCTCCACGACTAAGCCACAGACATTCCACACACATACGCAAAAACGGTCATCTCGCCACAAGGTTCGTGCCACATGGTGCGGCCCCCATTATCCACAGTCGCTGTCCGGCACTTCTCTGTGCCAGGCGCTGTGCCCCGCGCTGGGCTGCAACGGTGAGCAGAGCAAACAAACGTCCTCCCCCTCGTGACGCGCCCTCATGCTACAGGAGATAGACAAGAAACAAACAAAAAAGCAGAATATAGGTCAGATGGAGGTAAGTGCTCTGGAGAATTCAATAGGGAAGGAGGCCGGGGACGCGCAGCCAGGGGAGGAGCAATCTGAGTAGGGAAGACCGGAGAAGGGCGGCCTCAGTGGGAAGAACATCAAGGAAGTGAGGAGAAGAGCCACATATCTGGGGCAGAGCCTCGTGTGGCAGGAGAAACAGGAATGTGCTCTGTGCATTTGAGGAAGTGCAAACAGGCCAGAGCTCCTGGAGCTAGGGGAGGCTAGGGAGGCAGCAGGGGCCAGACTGAAAGGACTTTCTTTGACTTTTGCTCTGAGCACAGTGGAAGCCTTTGGAGGGCTTTGAGTGGAGGAGGGTAGTGATCTGGTTGGTGGGTGGGGAACAGACCACAGGGGCCAGAGTGGAAGTAGGAAGGCCAGTCAGGAGGCCATTATACCAGTCCCAATGAGCGAGGACGCGGCTTACGCTGGGGGATGGGGAGGGTGATGACAAGTGGTTGGGTTCGGGCTGTGTGTTTAAGGTAAAACCAACAAGATTTGCTGTGGATTGAATGTGGGTTATGAGAATAACACGAGTCAAGGATGAGTCTAAATTTGGGGGCCAGCTTAGAATCATGAGCACACACACCAGTACGCAGCCTTTCCAGTCCCTGAATCATTTATAAGAAAGTCAATTGCAAGAGCCCAGCACCATTTCCTGGGTACGTTCAGCTCCTGAGTTAAATTAGTTCCCAGAGGTAACAAGTTAGAGTCTGTCTGTCAGACTGTTCCATCCTATGCTGCTTGGATGTTTCCGGTAGCCCTTGGTGTGGACCTAGCTAAAGAGAGATCTGGAAGTCTTAAGTAAGTCACGGCCATTGGTAAGCCTCCATCACTTGTTCAAAAAACATGTACTGATTATGTGCCAGCAGGTATGGTCTTAGCTCTGGGCTGAATCTATAAAGAACAATAAAACATAGCTGGTCCCTATCCTCCGGAGTCTTCTGGCCAAGGAAGGGAGACAAAATGTAAACTGTGAATTACCACGTCGAGGGGGGTGGGGTACCAAAATAGGACCTAACCAAACTGATGGCCAGGATGTCAAGAAGCTAGCAATTGCTGAAGGGGTGGAGGAAAGCTTCACTTGGTCCAGACTTGAATTACTTAACCAAGACCTCGGGTAGGAGCACCGACATTCTCCTTACAGGAAGTATTCTGTCATAAACGCATGCACTTGAGGAGTCCTAAAACATCATAAAGCTCCAAGTGGCTCGACTCTGCAAAAAAAAAAAAAAAAAAAAAAAAAAAAGTCACATCTTAGTCAAAGAATTAAAAGAATTCTAATCCAATGTCTACTCCTGATCCCTAAAGAACACGAATCCCTAGAGACGACCCAATTCCTAACCCACAGAAACAGCTCTCACTTCTATTGCCTCCTACACCAGACCCCAGAAGTCTCTGGCCCAGGCCCCAGCATTCTGGCCTCTCCTCTCCCCAGCCACAGCTGCCTTTAGTCGTGATGCACTCAGGTTCCCTCGCTATTCCTCCCTCCATTTTCTGCCTGCCTTTCTGCTTCTCTCAACTGTTTCCTCGTCCTGCACAGTAAGGATCCACAGGCCAGTCTGGCAAAGGCTGGGTCTTTCAACTTTTCAAAAGAAGCCAAATATTCAGTATTTCATGTGAAACCTCCCAATTTATCCATGTTAGCAACTCATCCACATTTTTAAAAGAAAAGAAAAAAAAAAAAGGAAAGAAATACCATGGGGACCAACTTTGTGTTTGCATAACAAAAGATTTCTGCAGACAGCCCAGCCCCCGTGCCCCGCATGGGGGCAACTTTGCCTCTTGGCCCTACCGCTTGCTTAACTTAACGCCAGGAACATGGCCTGAGGCTTGTCTGCCTCCTCGGGACTCGAGTGAAAGTTAACTAGCCATTGAAGACCCGACCTAAATTAATTGCTCAGCAGGGCATCTTGCCCCACATTCACTCACTTGAGCAGCACTACTGAGCACCTGCCATGTGCTTGCTGACGGCCCGCTGGGCAGAGACCTCAGAGGTGCGGTCCCTGCCCTTGTGACCCTACAATCCTGTGGTCGAAGGAGGGGGGAGGGGGAAATGGGTGATGGGCATTGAGGAAGGCACTTGCTGGGACGAGGACTGGGTGTTGTACATAAGCAATGGATCATGGGAATCTACCCCCAAAACCAAGAGCACGCTACACAGTATGTTAGCCAACTTGACAATAAATTTTAAAAAAGAGAGAGAGAAAAAAAAAAATCAAGAAAACACATCCGGGCGCCTGGGTGGTTCAGTTGGTTGAGCTTCCAACTCTTGATATTGGCTCAGGTCAGGATCTCAGGGTCATGAATGGAGCCCCGAATTGGGCTCCACGCTGAGCACAGGGCTTGCTTGAGATTCTCTCTCTCTCCCTTTGCTCCTCTCCCATGCTCATGCTCTCTAGAAAAGAAAAGAAAAGAAAGCACACCAATCATTGTCCAGTGGCTGCTATTGTAAGACTTACAGAGAAGGGGTGTGTGGAGGGTGCCTCTGTGATAGCGAATAATGGGGAGATTTAACTCAGGGGTTCAGGAAAGGGATGAGAGTGAGCAAGAGCTAGAGGGAGTGAAAGGTGTTCTGGAAACAAGGGATAGAAGGGTTTGCATGCAAACAACAATGTATTCGCAGGGCCAAAAGGAGGCCCAAGAGGCTGCATTGCCAAGACGGAGGGCAGGATATGGCAGAAGAGGCAGACAGGGTCAGCTCGAGCAGGCCCTTGAGGTCATGCCAGGGACTTTGATCTTCATCCTGGGCTCTACGGGTAGAAGGTAGCAACTATGGGGAGTGGTTGGAGGGGACATATGGGGACGATGGAGACCAGTTTAGAAGCACATTACAAGGAAGCATCCAGGTAGTTTGGCTGAGGGTGGTACTGAGAAAATGGAGAGGAGTAGACAGATCTAAAATACATTTAAGGAACAAAACGGATGGAACTTGCACGTGGGAGTCCAAGGAAGTTGGTAAGTGTCAAGGGCGACTCCCTTGATTTCTGGCTGGTGTAACCAGGACTCATTTACTGACAAATATTTCTCTCTTTTTTTAATGTTCTTTTTATTTCTTTCTGAAGGAGAGAGAGACAAAGCACGAGCAGGGGAGGGGCAGGGAGAGAGGGAGACACAGAATCCGAAACAGGCTCCAGGCTCTGAGCTGTCAGCACAGAGCCCGACGCGGGGCTTGAACCCACGAACTATGAGATCATGACCTGAGCCGAAGTCGGACGTTTAACCGACCGAGCCACCCAGGCGCCCCACAAATGTTTCTTGAGCATCTGTCCCATACATAGCTCTGTTCTAGGTCTAAGGTTACAGTGATGGACAAAAGAGGTGAGGACCCCTGCCCTTGTGGCTCACTCCCCAGTGGGGATTGATGCAACAAAATAAGTCAAAGGTATACCATGTTACTAAGACCAGCTACATAATTTGTGGGACCAAGGTCAAAATGAACTTGCAGGGTCCCTTGTTTAAAAAAAGATATCTTGGGGTGCCTGGGTGGCTCAGTTGGTTAAGCGTCCGACTCATCATCTCAGCTCTAGGCTAGATCTGAGGGTGGTGAGCTCAAGTCCCATGTTGGGGGTCCATGCAGGACGTGAAGCCTACTTAATTTAAAAAATTAGAAAGATACTAATGGAATCAGAGTCGGCAACACGGAGCACTAAGCCAAGCACAGACTCCTTCTAAGCACAGGGTGGACACCCATGAAGCGAGCCCAACACATTGCAGAGACAAGATCTAAGGAGAAAAATACACTGGGGACATGGGCTAGAGTGTTTCTGGGGAAGGGAAGTTGCAATATTTCATAGAATAGACAGGGAAGGTCTTAGTGGGAAGGAATGTTTGAAAAACTACCTGAAGGAGACGAGAGACCAAATAATATCTAGGAAATAATAAATCCATAAATAATAACTATCTAGGGAAGGTGTTTTTGGTAGAGGAAACAGCTAGTGCAAAGGTCCTGAGGCAGGAGTGTGCCCACTGTGTTGAGGAACAGCAGGAGGCCAGTGTGGCTGAAATGAAGCAAGCAAAGGAGAGAGGGCCCATTGGGAAATCTTTGCAGGGAAAATGGTGGTTAAGATCAGGAGGATGTGGTAGGAGGAAAGGACCAGACTTGCGTCAGGACTTGCTGATGGATGGGATGTGCCTGGGATTGAAGGGAGAAGAAAGGAGCAAGGACAATCTCCTGGATTCTGCCATGAGCTGATGGACGGTGTGGACGGGCCACTTACCCAGACAACGAAGGAAACATTAAAATTTCAACTGGATAAGGAAATGTTGTTGGATAAGGGGTTAGTTGGACAGGGAAGTGATGAATGGATGTTTGCCCTGGGGTCCCAGAAATGGAAACGCAAAGAAGGTGATGGGAAAGGGAGGCAGTTTGAGCAGAAGGAACCACGTTCCCGGCACCGACTTGCGGGGGGCGCTCTGAGCAAGGTTGTGCTGGACAGAAGGTGTGAGGGGTGGACGGCAAGACAAACCAGAGACGCCAGCGGGAACCTAGTGAGGGAGGATGCTTGTTTCACATTCCCAAGAGCGCTGGGCCCTAGGACATTTCCACATCGATGGTTTCTGGGCTATTTATTTCACCGATACAGAATCATCACTGTACAATTGTACGGTACTGTTTTTTCTGTTGCTTAATTTGGAAATCATGTGCTCTTTTTTAATTATTTGCATTCAATTATGGACCTCTTGGACACCTGCCACGGTGTGCTGGAATTATTTTATAAAGGGCTGAACTTATACTGGGAAAAATATCGCATCATTTCTGAGGTTGATACCAAGGATTCACCGAGAGTAGAGCTGGGTGATGCACACCTTCCCAGCAGCTGGAAAGCAGACATTTGAGCGTATAAATTTCTTCCTTGACTCCTACTTTATTAGACAAAGATCTTAAATTTATTCTAGAGTTACTCATTCATTCAACATTTTTTTTTCTAAATCCTTATGTTGTCCCAGGGGATTCTAAGCTCTGGGAATAGAGTGGGGAGCAAACAGCAGACCCAGCTCTTGCTCCCGTGGAGCTTAGACATACACCCCCACGCACACACCCCTAGAAACTGTGTTGTGAGGGAGGAAAAAGCCCTGGGAGTTAGAAAGAGTGTGTAAGCAAAACTTTAGCTAGCCTGGGGAAGCTGGGCTTTAAGGGACAACATGGTAATCAGGTGAAAGGTGAGGAAGAAAAGAGTGTTCCAGGGTATGGCAACTGCATGTGCAAGGGTCCTGAGGCAGGGTGGGGGTGGGGGGACAAATTGAGATAATTAAGAACCAGGAAGGAAGGCAGAGTGGCTAGAGTAAAGAGAGTGAAGCAAGACTTGTGGAGGGAGAGACAAAGGCAGATGGTTATTTCATTCCTTAAAGCAATGAGAGCCACTGAAGGGTCTTAAGGATCCCATAATCAAGATGATAAGACTTGCATTTTAAATGACCCCTCTGCTACAATGAAGATGAAGAGGTAAGAAGGAGCAAGAATGACTGTGGGCAGACCTGAGGGGGCCACCGCAGCTGTGCAGGTGAGAGACAGTGGTGGTCCGGGCTAGGATGGTCAGTAGGGAGGGAGAAAAGCAGAAGGATGTGAGAGGTAAATCAATAGGACTGAATGCAGTTAAGTAAGTGATGGCATCTCTAAGAATTTTAAATGAAGATCTGCCAGGATTATTTGACTTATTGATCATTTGCAACATGGCTAATCCTCTAGGAACAAAAGCCATCGTGAGCGGACGGGACGTGCACGGGACGGTTTGGATAAGTAGTGTCATTATCTGCCCCTTGCCATCAGCCCACCATACCAAGGGCTATGAGCAAATATAAAATAAGAGTGCCTGCCCTCAAGAAGTAAGCCCCAGGTCATTCATTCATTCTTTTCTTTATGGATTAGTGTGTGAGAAATCTCATCACCTACAAGATACTAGGGGACCCTGGAGCAGAGAAGGTCAGTGTCTGCAGCTGGCAAGGGTGGGGGCTAGGTAGCAGAACATGGCAGGGATTGTCGATGAGAATTCCAAACTCAGTTTAGAAATTCGTAACGAGCAGAAAAGTAGAAAATCTACGGGGTGTATGGTGTGGCTGGAGATCAAAGGGCCTTCTGAGGAATAAGAAAATGGCCATTAGTCCAGGTATGGATTTTACACTTTATTCATGTAAAAGAGGCAATTATTTGCTCCATTTTACAGACTAAAATAGGCTTCTTAGATTTTATGGGATTTTAAAAAACAAATATAACTGATTGCAAATCAATTTTTGTGAGGCTATAGATAAAACTTGGCTGAGGAGTCGCTAATGGCAGCATTGATAGCATTCTTATCTGATGCGGATTTCATCACCATGTAAACAGCTCGCAAACAAGGTCTTGGGCGCTGCCTCTGTATAATGCTAACTTTTAATTCCAGTCAGCTTTTTCTTTTTAGTACGTCAAGATTGGTATCACTAATCTCACACCTGAGTTAGGAAACAGATACATTAGAGGAAGGTGGGTAAGTTTCATATAGTGGTCAATCATACCCATAAAATAGGTATTTCCCTATAAACTCGGGGAAAGTAGATAATAAAGGAAAAAAAAAGTGCATGTATAACCATGGAAAGACATTTCTCAGATGTGAGCTTGCTATTAGTCATTTCACACAATGTAACAAAATAAAGCCAAGCCAAGACTTAGAGGCACCCAACACAAAATTTTAATTGTTGGAGTTTACATGTATCCCTAACTTTCTTCGTTTCTCCTTCAAAATTTTATTTCAACCTAATGTTGCTCAACCTTTAGCATAAATTAACGGGAGGAGTGTTCTAGGCAAAAAAAAAAAAAAAAAAAAAAAAAAACCACCTGGCTCTATGTAGGAAATTTTGTATAGAAATATGTACTGGGTTTTTTTAAGTTTGGATACACATGATTGCTTCTTACAATGTTTCTTTCTTTTCACATTAGTTTCACTGTGTAAATAAGGAGTTACAAGAGGGAGAGGCACAAAAGCAAAAGAAGAAATCCTCAATGTACATTTCCTATTATGAGATTCCCTGTAGCTCTGAAGATACATCTCCATAAAGTGATTTGACATCCATAAATGCCAATTTACAAAGCATTATCCACTATCATCAAGGAAAAAAAAAACTATATTCTCCCTCTCTCCCTGCCCAATAAGTAAACTTTGCAAACAATTACAAGTACATGTAATCATAATACAGCAACTTGCATTTCTATAGCAACTTTCACTAGAGAATTTCTCAATGCTTTACAAACAGTAATTAATTAGACCCCCTAACATCCCCGTGAGGAGCCAAGGGAGGTGGGTATGCACTGAACATCCCCCAACACAGACTCGCTGCCACCTCTGGGGTGGATGAACAGCTGTTGTTTAAAAACTGTAGAGCAAACAGAATTCAACATTTTAGAAAATCATTGGACTCAGAAGTCCAAGATGCAAGAGGAAATTGCATCTGGTGCACAGGCCTTTCGTGTTTCATGTAAATGTGATAGAGAGGGATGAGGGCAAGATACTATTTTCTATGTCATCTGCCATCACCGCATCCCCTAAGGCTGGATTCACCCAACGGCATGAAGTGACTCTGCTGGGTTCATCATCCCAGAAATGACCTCATTACCAAGCAATTTTGCTGTAAGAGATGTTTCTTAACAAACACACATATCGATCTTATTATTTGCCAGGCACTTTTTACAATGCTTAGTGACTTATAACTTATTTGGTCCTCACAGCAAATCTTCCTGGGGTATTATTATTATTATTACTACTACTACTACCACCATTTTACAGGTGAGGAAGTGAGGCATAGAAGGTTTAACAAATTGGCCCCAAGTCCCTCAGCTAGTGAGTTGCTGAGCCAATGCAGTCTGGTTCCAGAACGCATGCTGTACTTTTACCCTATGCTACCTCTCAGGGTTGGCATCGCCTGTAAATAAACTTGAACGTTTACAAATTGGCACATTTTCTCAACTTGGTCATGCAGTTTGTCTCCTATTTCGAGGAGGGGTTGGTTTTTGTTTGTTTGTTTGTTTGTTTGTTTGTTTTTTCCACTCATGTGGTTACCAGGAGTAGTGACTCAGAAGGCAAGCAGCTAGGGGCGCCTGGGTGGCTCAGTCGGTTAAGCGTCCGACTTCAGCTCAGGTCACGATCTCGCGGTCCGTGAGTTCGAGCCCCGCGTCGGGCTCTGGGCTGATGGCCCGGAGCCTGGAGCCTGCTTCCGATTCTGTGTCTCCCTCTCTCTCTGCCCCTCCCCCGTTCATGCTCTGTCTCTCTCTGTCTCAAAAATAAATAAACGTTAAAAATAAAATTAAAAAAAAAAAAAAAAAAGAAGGCAAGCAGCCAATCTGGAAAGGAAAGGAAGAGCCTCTTGCTTCAGCACCTTGGAGAGCCCCCCCCCCCCCCCTCCCCGACTGCTTACCCCAGCACTACAGCCCCTCTTTCAGACCTACTGAGGCTCTCTCGCAAGGCTGGAGCCTGAGAATAGGCAGAGCCAACCTAGCGGGGACTGTTTTTCACTTATTTCTGCCTTTATGACAACAGGAAATGGGTACAAGATTATCAGGTTAGTTTAGCCCGGGCCGTCTCGAACCTGGGACCTAACAGCTCTGGTTTTCCCATTCTTGGGATGTCTTGGGCCTAGAAGCTGATGAATTTCATACCCACTGCTTTTTTCCCACTTCACATGGACGTGCCTCTCTCTTTTTTTCCTCCCAGATCTCTGGCAGGAGACCATCTCCCAGGGCAACTAGGCTTTTGCTCAAGGGCCATTCATGTACTTTTTCGGTTTGCCCTGGGGGAGAGACAGTGAAGTGGTCGACCCTGAATAATACAGGTTTGAACTGTCTGGGTCCCCTTACGTATACACACACACACACACACACACACACACACACACACACACACAGTACATGTATGTATACACGCATACACAGTACAGCATTGTAAGTGCGTTTTCTCTTCCTTAGGATTTTCTTAACATTTTCTTTTCTTTAACATTTCCATTTCTCTAACATATTCCTCTCTAGGAATACAGTATATAATACACATGACATACAAACTGTGTTAATCAACTGTTTATGTTATCAGTGAGGCTTCCAGTCAACAGTAGACTATTAGTCGTTAAGTTTCTGGGGAGTCGAAAGGTATACTCAGATTTTTGACTGCGTGGTTCAAGGGCCAACCGTATGTGTTTAAGGGCACTGGTTCTGAAGTTAGACTGCCTGAAAATTCACCTCACCTCTGCTACTTCCCAGATAAGACCTTGGGAAAGGTACACAGCTTTTTAAGCCCCAGTTTTTCCATCTGTACAATGGGGTTAAGATGAATGATAGTTGAGTCAAAGGATCATTCTAAGGCTTAAATAAGGTCATATGATTAGATAATGGATTTTATTATAAGAAGAAATAGGGAAAGTACTGATATCCCTTTCTGAACAAATGAGACTCGTGTGACGGATATACTTTCCCTCTCTACCTTGGCCGTCAGGGAGCTTCAGACCAAAGCTCCCACTTGGCGTTGGCAGCTCGATAGGACCCTATGAATTGCCTAGTGGTATTTCTTCTCCTCTGATGCTGATCTTCCCTTCTCATTGACATATTATTTGATCCTGATATATATATTTTTTGTAATTTTATTGTCTGTGTCATTTCAGGTCACTGCATAAGATAGATAGACAAATGTGGATCGTTAGAATATAAGTCACAAGTGAGCAAAGAGTTTGGTCTGGTTTGTTTGTTGCTATGCCCACAAAAGACTGGGACAGTACAAGTCAGTCGCATCTGTCCATAACTGATGCTTGGAGTAATCCCTTTACTTGGAGATACTGCGGTGACTAACCGAGTAGCTTTGCATCGGCGCTGAGTTAGCTGGCTGCTACAAGTTCACTAATTATCTATGATTCCAAGAGCTCTTGCCAGGAGATGTTTCAGTGATGATGCTGTTTACAGTGCAGTCTATCTTTCTCGAGTTGTCTAAGGGCAGAAAATGAGGAAGCGGGATGGGAGGCTGGCCAGAGAAATTTCTCCTTATCAATATAACTAATCTTGGGATCTCAGCTGGTGCAGACCCCTTCCCAAAAAAAGCTAGCAGGGTTTGACCAATGGGATGGAAACAAGAGTAGTAAAATTGGTTGCAAAAACATGCCCTTCTGACTCAGAGACCCAGTGTGTGGGCAGAGCTGGGCCGGCTCCTGTGCCGGGGGAGATCCCCTGGGAAGGGCTGGATCCTTCCCTGTGACACAGTGAAAGGCTTCAGTGCTGTTGCTGTTTGTGACAGATTATTAGACAATATGAATGCACCAGGGGGATGGGAGTGCAGGGAGAGACTTGGTCAAATCAGATCACAGCAGCTCACACTGCCTCCAAACCCTCATCAGCCAAATTCAACTCCAATTTAACTTACATTTCCTGAGTGCTTACTATACGCCAAGGCCAGGGAATTGCCGGATGCCGCAGGTTTCCAGGCATTTGGCTGTAAGAAAACAGAAAAAAAAAAAAAAAAAGAAGAAGGAAAAGATGCTCACACCTTTCTCTCTCTCCTTCACTTTCTCCCCTCGGTCTGTTGGCCTTGCCCTTAGGATTTTAACACCCTCCCAAGTAGGAATCAGCCTCCCTTCTGAGTTTTGGAAGGCATCCAGCCTGCTCCCTTCTCTCTCTCTGCAGGGCATCATACACACAGCAATTCCAGCCAGGCAGGGAGCACTTTTCTTTCCCCCACTTCAGGAAATCTTCCAGCTCTCGTCTTGTTACAAGAATCCTGCATTTGAAGTCTCCCTGGGAATAAACACACGTTTCTGATAACTCTAAAGATTAAGCCAATGAAATGAAAATTCATTTTTGAGACATAAACTGTAAATGACCGGGATTTTCCACGGAAATATTGGCACTTTGGTGGAGGCACGGCGGCCCTCAAGTTGATGGTCGTTTGCTGCAACGTGCCAGGCAGTCCTGCGGTCGTTCAATAGACAAGACATCATCAAATACCACATCTGAATTCTGTTCAGATTATTAGAATGAAAAGGGTAATTCAATTCAATTGCCTGGAGAATCATCCTACACAGGCATAAACAAAGCTGGCCAGAGGCAAAACTGCTTAGCAAGGGAAGAGTGGCTGGGGCCCTGGGCCTGCCTTCCTCCCCACCCCCCAGCTTAGTCCTCCCCTCTGCAGGAATCCCGGCTGAATTGAAATCAACGTGTTGCCCCTCCCAAGGGTATTTGCTTTTCCAGTGTTCTTTCTAGTTTGAGAATGAAGGGATTAAAAACTCACCTTTATCAAACACCTACAATGGACCAGGCCCATTTTCACAATGTTAATCCCTGGACACACTCTGCACTTGTTCATTCAAAAACTACTATCTACACCCAGCCAGGCACTGTGCCGGGTGCCGGAGATCCAGCAGAGATCAAAGAGTCGGATCCTCCCCTCTCTGGGCTCTGCAGCCTGATGAGAAGAAAAAAAAAAGCAATAGACTAACAAATACATAAACGTTTGTCAAACCCTGATAAGTGCTGTGCAGAAATATCCAGCAGGGGAAGGGGACAGGGAGCGCCCGAAAGGAAATGCCGTGAGAGATAGGGTGGCCGTGCGGGGACTCTCAGAGGAGGGGACAGTTGGGCAGAATGAATGAGCTATGCTGCTATCTGGGGGAAACACATTCCAGGCTGAGGGCCCGGGAACAGCATGAGCAAAGGCCCTGGGGTGTTCCCAGCAGGAGGCACACGGGAGGGAGCCGAGTGAATGGGAGAGACATGCTTTGTAGGCCAGGATGAGAGTTACCCACTCGGGGATATTGGAAGCCACTGGAGGGTCTAAGGAAAGCAGCGACATTGGAAGTTCATTGACTTGGGTTTTCAGAGCAAGCTTCTGAAAGCTATATGGGGACAAACTATATGGGGAAAGCTATATGGTACCTATATGGGGACAAACAGGGAGACAGAGGCCCGTCAGGAGACAGCAGCAGTAACCAGTCACTGAGGTGGCCTGGACAAGAGCGAACCAGGGGAGGTGATGCTGAGATGTCAGGTCCTACCCTCTCTTGTGGAGACGGGGGTCCCGGTCCGGCAAGTGAGGAAACAGAAGTGCAGCGAGGGTAGGTAATTACCCATGGCTGGGTGATTGCTGAGAGTCCCACAGGCTGCCCATTGCAGAGGCCTGGCTCTCTTTACTCTGCCACAAGCTTCTCTGTTGCCACGCAGTGAAAGGTACTGCTCCCAGGCGAAGGCATTTGAGTCCTCAGAGAGCAGAAAGAGGGATTTAGGGAGGCTGGCGATTTTTCTGGGCCCTTGTCATCTCACTCCAGCCTTTGCTTCGGCGGGGTTCCACCAAGTCTTAATCATAACGGTCAGCACGTACCATGTTAGCACTCTGGACGTGGCAGTGTTCTAAGGGCTCCCCCCACTTGTTATTGCAACGATCCCCATAACAGCTCCCAGGAAGGAACTACCATTATCGTTCCCATTTTACAGATTGGGAAACTGAGGCTGAGCTGTGTTCATCAGTCCGAGATGACAGAGCTGGAATGTAGATCCCGGCGGTGAGGTTCCCAGAGCCCCAACCCTTCAATATCCTGCCACTTCTTCCTTGAAGAGATGTTTACTTTGCAGTGTTTTTCTACTGAATCGTGGGCTTAGAGACTGAAGTTCACACCACTGATACACGTTGAAACTGGCCCCCACTGACATGACCTTGGGGCACATTGGAGAGAGTGTCCACCAGGGCCCCTCCTCAAGGGTGCTGCCAGGATGGAGGCCACATGAGGTGGCCTCCGGGTCCCCATCCATCTCCAAGTCGTTGCTAAGTCTCGTATCCCTGCCTTGTCCATCCTGAGTACAAGTCTCCCGGAGGTTGGGAGGGGAGAGTGGTGATCAATAGAACCACAGCCGCCAGCTCCTAATTTCATTGGACGGATGACAGAGACGCTTCCAATCCTCCTTTCTTCCGAGTTTTGAGAGGAAAGGGGAAACAGAGGTATAGGCTTGGCAGCTGGGTTGGGGGGGGGGAAGGGGACAGCATGGGAACAGGGCGAGAGTGGGGGAGGCGTGGTGCATTCGGGCTCTCCAAAGACAAACTGAACTATTCTCAGAAGAAGGGAAGGTGGTGTGCGCCCCCCTCCTCCACCCCTGGGAGAGAGACATGAGGAGATGCTCATTTTCAAAACACCGCAATCCAGATCCCCCCCAAAAGTCCCTCTGTTGTCACACAACAAGCCCCCACCTCTACCCACCCTGCCTCAAAGGCACTTCATCATGTATTAGAGCCTCTCTAATTCCCCTCCCCCCCCCCCACCAGGTAGATGACCTGGCTCCCCCTTTGTGCCCCACCCAGCTAATAAAAATAAAAATAACATCTTCTCTTTATTGAGCTCTGCTTTTACGCACTTTAGCTCATTCGTGTTCGCATCAGAATAGCCCTGCAAGATGTGTCTGCTTATCTCCATTTTACAGAGGAGCCGCCCGCACAGAGCTCAGAGAAGTGAAGTGACAAGTGACTTGCCCAAGGTCACACACTGAGTAACTGGAGGACCAGTCACCCACACCTGACTCAGCTCAGGCTCTGTCTCCACCGCCCCGCCCTACCCCCAAGTTACTAAGTTACTGGAGGGCTGGCAACTTTTCTTGTTCAGTTTTGCATCCCCAGCATCCAGTTGGTGCTAAGTAAATATTGATGGAAATGACACATGGATGAATAAATGGATGAAAACTGCCTTAGAATGAACTGGCTGATATAAATATGCCACATGCACTTACATTGTCAGAGACAATGCCAACAGTTTTTGAGAACCATTTATTCATTCAACAAATACAAAATGTGCTTATTGGAAATGCACTGAGTGCCGGGCAATGTGTTTGATGCGGGGAGATTGTGGGAACAGAGCCATCCTGGTCCCTAACCTCCAGGAGCTCATAAAACAGAGGGAGAGAAAAGACCAAGACCAAAGCAAGCAGCCAGCAAAGTCACAGAAGAAAAAAATATTTGCAAATAATTAACAAGTGAAGAAGGGAGAGTGGGGACACTAAGGAGAGGGCTTTGGTAGACAGGAACGTTCTCTGAGGAAGAAACGTTCAAACTTGACTAGAAGTCACCCAGGAAAAAAGTCAGGGAAGAGTTTCGGGCAGAATGAATGGCATATGTGCGGGCCCAAAGGCAGGATTAAGTGCGTAGAGCCTTCCAGAAAGTACAGGAAGACTATGTGGCTAGAGCCAAGGGTCCAGAGATGGAAGGAGACATGGGGTGGGGTGGGGGTGGGGAGGCCTTTCAGGCCTTGTTAAGTATTTTGGAATCCAGCCTCCTGGCAATGGCAACCCTTCGAGGGATGGGAAGCATGCAAGTGACATCCTGAGATCTGTTCCCGCTCGGTAGGCAAAGGGGAGCAGAGAAGCTGGTTAGGAGGCTGCAGTCATGCAGATAAGAGCCGCTTGGGCCAGAAGCATTAGGAAGTGGATGCATTTGGAAGCAGGAAACTGAGCAAAGGAAACTATATGGACCTAACTGGGCCGTGTCCACAAATGCACCCATGATGTAGTCAGGGCAGTGGGGGCCTGAAAACAGATAAGATTCTAATCCATAATCTATCTTTTATGACTGTGTCGTCAGGCCATCCAATCTGCTGGAGCCTCAGTTTCCTCATCCGGAAAACGAGGCGTCCCAGGAATGTTGTTGCGGAGACAATGCATGCCACGGTGTGGGGCATGGTGATCTTCTCCCTTTGCCACCTCCAGATACTGGTGGTCCGACTTCCCCACTGCCCTCCTGAATACCGGGCTCTACTGCCCCAGTAAACATTTTTCAAGAAAGAATTAATCTCCAAGTATTCCATGCCAAAGGAAAAGTGCAGAATAGCCTTGCAATAGTCTGCCAGCCTCGCGCCGCTAATACTTATCACGGCCACGGCGCCTCAGTACTTTACCAGTAACTCAATTACCAGTCCCTGGGCGCCTCCCGGCACAAAGCCTTTCCCGTGGGTCCCCACTGCCTTCCTGAGAAGCCCCGGACACAAGTCAATTCCTAGGCCCTAATGAGAGCTTTTCAACACCTGACAGTAGCCATGGAGCGTGTGCTAAGTACAGCCGTCAGGCCACCCCGGCTGCCTCCCAACCTCCCAAGACAGGGGGTCCTGGCCAGCCGGGAGGTGCCACGTGGGCTCTGGCATCAGGGCCTCACACAGCAGATGTTGCCGCCTTCAAAGCCGGGCCAATTATGATGTTAACGCCCTGGACATTAATCCCTGGGTCCTTGCCAGCCAGGACCTGCTCTGCTCTCTGGTTGAATAGCACAGGTCCTCTAGGGGTGGGGGTGGGGGTGGGGGGCGGTAGGGATGAAGGAAGGGTCTTGGGAAAGTCGCACTTTCAACTGCTCAGATTCAAGGCCCGACTTCTCCTCTGCATCATACCCAAGGCCTGAAGGTGTCCAAGTATTTTAGCAGCATGAACGCCAGCTCCCGTCACCACGGGGCAGTCAGCAAGGACTGTTATTAAAACTGAGACCCAGAAAATGAAATGTCTTACTCAAGGAAATAAAACACATTCGCGGGAGTTCCCTGAAGACAGATTTGCTCTCCTGGTACCCAGATTTCTGAAATGTGTTCAACAAATGGCAAGCTCCCGGGGAGCAGGGGAAAGAGCACAGTGTCCAGCACATGGTAAATATTTTTGGCACGAAATGACTAGCCCTGGTTCAAACTCGGTATCAGAACTACGTTCCATGGTCTCACACTCAGTTGTAGAAAGGGAAATACCCACGCTGCATCATCAGTGACAAATGTTTTTTAACACCTGGCTTCTCACCATCCAGAAGGCCCCTGAGCCATCTTTTCCTTGGCCCAGGCTGTGTGTAAGCTACAAAGCAGGTCCCAGAGAAACCTGACCTAGATGCAGAACCATGGACAGCTACCTTGAGGTGATGGGTCCAGGGCATCTGGAGGATATGCCAAAGGCGAGCCTGGCAATTGTGCGTTTGGAGGTGGGGGAGCGGGTTTGGACAGTGCATTCGGAGCAGAGAGAAGAGCTGAGCAATGGCCCGTGGCTGGATTGTGGGGAAGGAGTTGAGAAGAACAGCAGGACAAGAAGGTGGAGAGACAGGCAAGGCTCAGACAAGGAGGTACGGCGGCCCAAGTGAGGGATTTGGGTCTTTGTTCTAAAAGCCGTGGCGAGGATGGGGGGCCACCTGGGTGGCTCAGTCAGTTAAGCAACTGACTCTTGATTTTTTCAGCTCAGGTCATGATCTCCCAGTTCTTGAGTTTGAGCCCTGCATCAGGCTCTGCACTGACGGTGCGGAGCCTGCTTGCGATTCTCTGTCTCTCTGCCCCACCTCCTTCCCTCTCTCTCAAAATAAATAAATAAACTTCAAAAAATAAAAGCAGTGGGAAGTCACTGAGGAGTTTCAGGGCGAGGAAATAGCTGGGGCGAATGCTCAGAGATGAGGTGGAAAAGACTGGAGAAGAGCTGAGGTTGCCTGCAGGAGGACAGGTGAGCCACAGTCCAGGCACATAGAAATGACAGCTCAGCCCAGGGGGGGGGGGGCAGTGGCAGAGATAAAGAGATGAGGATGGCTTTAAAAGAGATGTCTAGAATCCTGATTCTCACAACTTCTTCATCACAAAGATGACAAGGCAGGAGATGCCGGACAGTGGAGGGGCCTGGCAGAGGGGTGGGGACAGTGTGTGACTCCTAAGCTTAGGCTGGAGACACTGAGTCTGAGATGTCTTGGAGACACCCAAACGGAGACACCCTGTGGGCAGCTAGAGATATGGGCGTGGAGTTGGGAGCAGTCAGGTCCAAAGTCACAGATGGAGTAGCCACCCTATGCAGGCGGAAACGATGAAGTTTCACAGGGACAGACTACATCAAAAGGAGGAGCCCTGATCTGCCTCAGCCGTTTCCCACTACTTCACATCTGGGTCGCTTCTGATCATTTGACATTTTAAGTGTCCCAGTAATGAACACCCTTGTCCTAATTTACAGCGTTTCCATATTCTAGGTTACTTTTCTAATAGCCTACCTTGCTAACATGGCTAGCAACGGATAAGTGCTAAGAAACTGAATATCTCATGTGTCTGAAATGAAACAGAAATTTTTTAGTCGACCACAATTTGTAGTGGCCCACGTAACCAATCTCTCCTGATACCTGCTGGTTTGTTAAGTCTTCCCTAACGAGCCCAACCAAAGGGAACTTCTTCCTCTGAATTCTAATGGCTGATCCTAGAGACACTCCATTCTTGTCCTTCAGAGGTCTG